TCCGCGTGCCCGCAGGGGCCCGGTCGCGGTCGAGCTCCCTCTTCTCTTCCCTTCAGCGGCAGCCAGCCACCCCATTACTTCAAACTTCGCATGTAGGCCGTAGTGGATATGGAATACAACATATCCAAATTAAAAGCGATAATTCCGCCGGGAAGGGGTTAAATTGTGGTGTCAAAATCAATGAGTTGAGGTGCGATGTTTGATAGGGTAAGCCACCAACCCAACCAGACCCAACTATATATATATATTTTCACCTAGGCAACAGAGCGGTGCAAAGCGGTGCAAGATCAACAAAGTAAATAAAAATAGCAAATCATATAAGAAAACTGAAAGGCTTCATTCTGGAGTGATTTTAACCACAGAAAAACAAACATTCACACCAGATCAGATCTGTCAAGTTTCACACAAAGACACTGAATGAAGGAAATATATATATATTCAATGCACAAGACAGACCAAGCATCGACATGGAACATCAATTATTTATCCACTGTGAATCATACCTCATTATCATATGCCGCCGGTGCAAGCACGCTGTGTGGCCAACAGAGATTGAACAGCATCTGAAAGGCAAGGCCCATCAGCTAAAGCATGCGGTGGTTCAGCAGATAAAGGAGAACATTGAACAGTGGGACAATGTGGCTCGAGATACTACACAGTTAACACTGCCCACATACTACACAGTTAACACTGCCCACAATACTGAATGAACCAATCCCGGAACTACCCATTCAAGATGGCTACAGGTGCCAGCGGGATCCCCAGTGCCAGTATGTGGCAGGGAACATGAACACCATGCGCAAGCACTGGCAGAACAAGCACAGCTGGTCGCCATATCCCAGCCGTGGCCGTACAGCGCCACAAAAGCGTACGGCAGCACAGGATGAGGTGGACAGATCATGCCAGAAGGTGCAGTTCCAGCAGGTATTTGCATCGCGCAAGGGCTCCCACTACATACAGATCCAGACTAAGGAGACTACTGAGCACACCGGCACGCCAGACCAGAACAGAGCCAGCCATGTCATTGATGAGCTGGAGCGGTTTGACCGGGAACAGCAACGGCAGACCAGCAATGTCATCCAGGCCGGGGAGCACGATGAAGCCAACCCATGGCTGCGGCGGACCAGATGGCCGGTGTACTTGACCAACATCGTCTCTCAATGATCTAGGTCAACTGCCGTGCCACCGGCTCCGACGATGGACTCCATGTGGCTCAGATGTACTGGGCTCGAGGGTCCATCTGGGAGGGCTATGGTTT